CTAGCTTTTATTTACAAGTGCTGCTATCTTCACGTTGAGGTCGGAAACTTTTCAGACCACCCTCGTACATGTAGAATGTATGATTCAATATGCATATAATTGAAAATGTATATAAAGTACTCAATATGCAGGTATGTAAAGTATTAAATATGCATGTATCTATAAAGTATTCAATACGTATATATTGAAAGTTTAAGTATGCGTATGTAAAGATCGAGTTAATAAGAATGTCCAGGACAAATAGTGCTTTTACTTTAAGACAACCTTAAATATAAGATCAGATCATAAATACTACCTAAAAATCGTAATAATTCCGAATGTTAAACTCACTTGACATCCGGTCGCCGGGTCGCCGAAGAATCCCTTGTACCTTTGTTCCTTGCAGCTGAAGGAGGTTTCCGGTATAGTCGCGTACGCCGGGTAGTCCACGCTCGGTTTACCGCGCGTCGCACCGTACTTCGCCGACGTCTTCGGCATTTTCATTTCCGAGGGTGCAATTTCATTCGGCGCCACGTAGCCCTTGTTGGTAGACGCCTCGGTGGAAATTGGCAAAGCGTACCGTCCGTCCTGCAGGATGTCGTCGTCGACGTCCTCCGTGATCTCGTAGGAGTGGTCGGTGGGCGCGTCGGGTCTCACGGTCGGCCTGAATCCTTGCTTCGCGTCGTTCGAAATATCCTGAACGTACGGAACGTAATATTCCACCTTCTCGTCCTTCACGTGATTGTAATCAGGCTGTACCTGTGCCTTGATCGGCACGTCGTCCACGTATTCCGTGGTCTTGTGTCGCTCGGGGTCGTCAGTGATGTACAGGGGATTCGGCGTCACCTGGAACTTCGTCTCCGTGATCACCTTCGGCCGCGTCTTTGGCTTGTAATTCTCGTAGCCGTTCAATTGAGGCGGCGGCGGCGGCCCTTGCGATTGCGGAAAGTCCTCCTTTCGCGAATTGTGCAGGATATTGAGGATCTCCACGAGCGCCTTTATGCTGTTGTCAATGTTGTCTTTGTTCAGCCTCTCCGGCAGTCGTTCGGACAATTGGAAGCTCTCGATTAGGTTGTTCAGATTTACGCTCGGCTTTCGGTAAACCGCCGTGATGAGCGACGGCTTCCTCTCGGCCGTTTCGTACTGCTGCTTCACCACCGCCGGTTGCTGCACCGGCGACGACACGTATCTTGGTCCCTCGAATTCGTTGCTCGGGTAATTAAAGGCGACGGCCGGCCTCGCCGCGTAATCCTGGTCGTAATCGTCTTGCGGACCGTCGACCACTAGCGGTTTCTTCAGCAGGTGCTCTCTCGCGGGCGGCCGGAGCGGCCTTGCGATGTAGTATCGATTTTGCTTGTGCAGGATCTGACTGGAAGGCGTGGTGATCTCGGGATAGATCTTTTGGACCTGAAAGACCTGCTGATAGGTCGGAGTCGAGTAGTCCGCGTAGTTGATCTTGGCGTTGTACTTGACCGGTGAAAAGTAGTCGTTGTCGCCGCCGATGTTCCTAGGATCGAATTGCACGGATGGGATGAACTTTGCGTCCTGGTTAGGAGAACCGACGTGATACTTGTTACCGCCGCCTCTCCTCGGGATGCCGGTCAGCCGAAGCAAAGAATGCTGCAACTGCTGTTGCAGATGTTGTTGCGGAATTTTTCGGGGCAGAGTGCCCGACAGCTCCTTCGCATAATTTTGCGCCAGCGCGGCCTGCCCGTTCACGTAGTTATTGGCGACGTAAAAAGTCATGTAGGGTATCAATCTTGGGAATCTCTCCTTGAATAACGTCAGATTCATGTTTGCCAGTAGTTCCTCCCCGTCATCCTTCGGAATAGCGCTAGTCACGTTCGGCTCCGTCGGGGATGCTCCGCAGTTTTGCATTAGCAACAACACTGCAACCGAGAAGAAATAGGCTCGTTCATTATCGTCATTTTTCATCGATACCGCTGTCTCATTTCGTGACGCATAGTGTGTATATTTAAATAATTTTGTTATTAAACTTTCTGTCTATGTGTTCTGTCCATATATCTTCAGTTAAAGAGCGCTTCTGTTTTAGATAGCCGAATAATAGGAGGCCTTACGATTTTTTTTCCAAAGCAATGATTAAAGATGCCGATATATAGAATGTTGACACACTATTTATCATTATTTTTGTAGTATAAAAGATTGTTAAAAAATAAATAAAAATTCTCCCTTTAGATTTCTTGACATTGAGCGTGGTGTCGCCAGATCTGACGTCCGATAACCTGGACAACGAAAAATTTCAGTTTGAATTAAAGAATAATGTTTTTAATATTTGAAACAATGATGAAGTATCGTTAAAATTCTATGCACTAATATCTTTGTTCTCTGAAAAAAATTCGTACCTTCAATTTTTTGCCAGCCATCTAAACCTCCTCTTAATATATATGTTGATATTTAACAATAACATAATGATATTATGATAAATAATATTATTTAACAATAATAATATACAATCAGAACGTTTTTTACAGGTTTTTTTTCCGAATATATCAGCTTTCTATGCGAAGAAGTGTCATAAACATTGACGTAGAGTTAAAATTTCTCGGGGTTGCGCCTTCGTTGCACCGTCACGACTGCATGAATTGCACGGGGCGCGGAAGAACGTGAGGAGAGAATGAGAGATAACGCGGTACATCGCTGAAATGTCCCGGTACAGTCGACAGAGACACGAATTGTAGAAAGGGTGGCCGGTCTCGAGGGTTGAAGGTTGAGTGTAGCGAGATAGAGGAGGATCGGGTACGTTTTTAGTGGTTCCGCCACTCGAACGTGCCAGCGCGAATATACTCCGGCCACGAGAGTACCGATACATACACTGTATGTTCACATGCACCCACGCATGCATTCATCTACCCACCCATCCACCCGCCCACTCACGCACACAGACTCGCGCGCCTTTATTCTTGCTGGCTCGCTGTGCGCGCAAAAGCGCTGGACGGCGCTCTCTCTCCGAATATTTTCCTCCTAATTTAATTTCACCTGGTGGAACGCAGTACGCGCGTTACCTCGCACATCCCGAGGACGAGGGTGGAGATTCTGATGGGAAGGGGGCGAGCGGGGGAATGCATCGCGTCGCGGATATAACGATGCGCGGCGGTGGCTTTTCGAGAGGTCGATTAGGGGTGTGTTTGACACGGGGCCGAAACCGTACGTACGTCAGTGCAGAGGGTGAATTCTTTCTCGATTCGCGCCTCTTCCGTCCCGTTGCGTTCCGCCGGGAGTGCGCGTTCTCTGCTGGAAATTCGTGGATTCTTCAATTCGCGACATTGCGCACCGCGAAATCCGCGCGCATATGTATATATATATATATATATATATATATATATATATATATATATATATATATATATACATATATATATGTATATATACATATATACACACACACACACACACTTTCTCGCCCCCGCCGTCCTGCCTCCGTACGTTATTTCCCCGCTCGTGCGAATGAATAATTACTTGCGCGGCCGTTTTGAACTTCATTCGCGGGACATTCTAAAAACGTGCGTATCTCATCAGAAGCAACAATGGGGCCCATTTATCCGCCATACAGTGCGGCGCGTTCTCTCGCGGGAGCAGTTCGGTCTATGAGATACCGCTATCTTGGTCCACAATGTACTACGTATATTGTTTCTGTTTGAATAATTCCATCGTTGTTGAATTTGCTACGTCGCGGTGCGCACTCGCGATGGCGTGTAAATTAAAAGAGAGAACGTCGAAGCGCATGTTGGATTTTTCCACGACAAATATCGTTCGTCGTTCGAGCCGATGTAGAATTTTACTTTCTGCGACGGATTCGGCCCAATCGAAATCCGAATCCCTCAGATTCTCTCTCTCTCCCCCTTTTTTTCGAGGGATTGAACAAACCACACGTGCCGCGTAATTTTTTCTTCGATTACCGTCCGACCTCGTTCACCCCCGTGGGTATTCCCTGGCACGCCCTGCGCGAATACTCGTCCACTTTTTTAATTCGCGAGCTTTCGTCACATCGTCCGGTCGGTGATATTGCGGTGTACGAGATGCGACGGGGTTGTGGGGCGGAATGGCAGAGGGAAACGTGTGGCTCGAATGGTGCCGGATATAAACCCGCCTCCCCAGACTCGCCATGAATTTTTATAAACCGATTATTTAGCGTCGATGTAACAAAGTGCAGCAAGCCCGTTGAAAGAGCGTCGCGCGACGCTTCAAGCCGGCGTACATCAAAGGGACGCGCGTCCCGGCCGTATTACTCTCTCCCTCTTACTCTCTTCTCTTTCTCTCTCTCTCTCGCGCGCGCGCGTGGGTTACACACAGTTATACACCGACCCCGACCTGGAAATCCAATTCGATTCTGCATGAAATGAGTCTGGAAACTCTGGCCGCCTCCCACCGCGGCCTGGCGCGGCGCGGAGCGGAGCGGAGCAGAGCTGAGCACGGCGCGCCTTTATTAATCCTGTCAGCGCGAAACGTGATTGAAAAATTCGCAAAGCACGTGTGCCCGGCGCGATCTCTGCGAGGCGTTCGTCTTGAAAATTTTCAAAGCGCGACACGAGCATTTTCCGCGTTCGCGGAATGCATTTTCTGCGTTTGCACACAAAGAGGGATACGTGTATGCATGCGCTGAAACGTTGCATTTTTCGCGCGAGTCCGTCTCGGGCAGGAGAAGCCGCCTGTTTAAAAGAAATCAAAGGAAGAGTATCTCGTTTATTTCTTCAATCGAGTCATCCACGCGACCGAATGCTTGCACGGATCTTACGTCGCGACTCGCGGGGGTCCGTCATTTTGATGTTTAGGACTTCTAGAAGGAATTGAGTCAATTGTCAGAATCATCGCCGGGAAGTTACGAATCTTGGTTGTATCGTAAAGTTAATATCGACGGCGAATTTAATCAAGATATTAAGTACATAGGATTGTACCATACCCGAGTCGAAATTTTGACCCTATGTTGAACCTTGAATTCTACACCGCAATAGGAACTAAGATAGCAAAGTAGGTTTAATTCTAATGATATAAATTACTCCTACTTTTACCCTAATGGTGTCTTAAATTTCCGCTTTCGTTTTCTTTAGCGTCAAAATAGGTTGTATAATAGTAGGATCTTAGGAAATAAAGTAGGTTCAGATACGAACCTCTATAGAAGTTTTAGCTCCTACATAGAATATATGTATTTTATAGAATTCAAGGTTCAACATAGGGTTAAAATTTCGACTCGGAAATGAGGGTCAATATCGTCAAAATAGGTTTCACCTAGGTTGTAGATTATCTAAGTAGGCTCAAACTATTTTTAAGAGCGTCAAAGTAGTGTCAAAATTTTAGAGTTAAATGTTCAAAAGAGAAGTTAATGAGTATCAATATCGTCAAAGTAGGTTTTACTTAGGCTATAAATCGTCTAAGTAGGCGTAAACTATCCTTAAGAGTGTCAAAGTAGCATCCAAATTTCGACTCGGGTAGATAATCTACAACCTAGGTGAAACCTATTTTGACGCTCATTTCCGAGTTTTTTGTGCTAAGCGCGATATCGCCGGATCTGGTCACAGCTTAGTGTCGGAAAATCTAGAGAGAAAATTTTAATTTATTTTTTAGTAATTTTTTTATACTTAAAACAATGATAAATAGTGATGGTCGAAACTCTATATATCAATATCTTTAATCATTCCTTTGGAAAAAATTCGGTACTAATAACGTGAAGGTAAATTTCGCTGCAAAGCAAATTCTTGTCTCTCCTCTCAAACGAATCGACGCGAAAGACCTTTCACTTTTACCGCTTCGCGCAAAAAACAATTATTCGTCGAATTGGATCTCAGCCAGACGGAAACGGCGAGCGAGGCTGCTCTCTTCTTGTTCTTCCTCCTAGTCATCGCCGATAGTCTCCCTTTCTCTCTCTTCCCCCTGACCGCCTCCTTTCTCCGTTTCTCCATTCTTTATGTTGAATGCCGATGTCCGACCGGCGAAATTCTAACTCAAATTCTGCGTTTCACAACGCGCATCATGCCGCGCGAAAGTATGCAGTGACGGAGCCAGGGTCTCGTACCGATCCACCCGGTAACCCGATACGGAATATTAATTGGCGGGTATTGGTCTCCCGGATTACGTTATTCCGAACGTGCGTGACTTGGAAGCTCGACAGACGCGAGGCCGGATAAAAGAGACAGGCAGAGAGGGAGAGAGAGAGAGAGGGAGAAAGCGTGAGGGAGGAGCAGGGGGAGGAGAGAGAATCGCGAAACAGATGCGGTCGGAATACAGACCTTGTCCTCGGTCAACCCTACTCGCCGAACGCCGAGGTGACCAAAAATTCTCGAATTTAATTACACAAGAGAACCCACGCGCTTCCGTGTGTGTGTGTGTGTGTGCGCGCGATATTTAATTAATGTCCGATGCAAGGGGGAGAAGGGGTGAGTCGCGGTACTTCGTAGCGAAACGAAACGAGCGACGGTGTCTATTTTCGCGACGCGCACAATTCTGCATAATGAACACACCTGCACTCGCCTATCCCCCCCCCCCCCCCCCCCC